ATCCCTCTTTGAAGGTGAGAGGGTCGGTATATAAAACCTCAAAATAAATAAATAAATTATACTGCAGTCAAGGTTATTTATTATTTTTCTCTGTTATCAGCATTATTTTATTACATTTATTTTACGCTATTATTATTACATTTACAGTATTTTACCCTATTATTATTACATTTATTATTTTACTCTATTTATTATTATCATTGCATTTATTAATTTACTTAATTATTGCATTTATTATTTTACTCTATTATTATTGTTATAATTGCATTTCCATTATTTTACTCTATTGTTACTATATTTATTATTTTACTCTCTTTATTATTGTTGGAAGGATACGTAAGTATGCTTACATTAAAGAAGGTTAGAATGACGATTTAATCAGAGTTGGACAGTCTTATCTTAAATTACAGTCTTATGTAAATATTCCAAAACATTTCATCTCCTGATGTCTCAATTAATGTAATTTTATTGGTTATCTATTTTTATTTTGAAACTTACTCATAGCACCTGCATTTCCCACCCTCAACTTATATTCAAATCAATACGTTTTCCCAGTTTTTTATGGTAAAATTAGGTGTCTCGACTTACATTCGGGTCGGCTTATACTTGAGTATATATAGTAATAAGTACTGTAGAGCTGCTTTGAGTCCCAAGGGCAGCATATAAATGCAATAAATGACAACAAATGAAGACATAATATTCATCTAATTGACTTTTTCATTCTTTCAGCTGATGTGTATACATTCAATGCACTAATTTTAGCAGCTGCAGAAGTGAAAGAAAAATACACAGAAAGATGGGAGCTTGTTGAAGTAAGGAATTGTATACTGTACCAGACTGTAATATATATCTTTACCTTTATCTTGTGGTTTTATATCCAACTTTGTTATTGTCATACAATATTTCTCAGATGAGCATTATGTTACCCAATTTTTATTGAACTAATAAAAAGTAAAGGTTTCCCCTTGACATTAAGTCTAGTTGTGTCTGACTCGGGGGGGGGGGGGGGGGGGGGGGGGGGGGGGGGGGGGTGGTGGTGGTGGTGCTCATCTCAATTTCTAAACTGAAGAGCCGGTGTTGTCCGTAGACACCTCCAAGGTCATGTGGCTGGCATCTGATGTTAAGAAATGGAGTGATTTCCTTACTGTATTAATGCTTTTATTAGGTTTTTCAAAAAGATACAAAAACCCATCCCTGTAACCCTAGCCTTTAAAAATAAAAAATTTAAAAATACACAAAAGACATTAAAAGCACAGTTGATTGTTCCCCATTCAAACCATGGCATTAACAAAATGTTATAATGTAGTATTCTTTTCTTTTTAATAATTTTTATTGATTAATATAAACAGAAAAAATTAAAGTATAGTTAAGGAGAAGAAAAAAATGTATAGGAGGTTATATGTTTTCCCATGGAAAGTGGGAGAACAGTGCACTAATAGGATAGTAGGAAAAAGGAAGAGAAAATATATATATAGATAAAAATATTATTTATATATATATATATACACACACACACACATACACGTACACATACACACACACACACCATAAAGTAAAATTAAAAAATGAGAAAAAAAGAGAAAAAAGTGTAGATTTGACTTCTATTCTTGTTCATAGCAGTTCATCATATATATATATAGAGAGAGAGAGAGAGAGAGAGAGTTAACCTTTCTCTCTTTTTATAGAGGGTGGCATCTTTCTTTTTTCTGTCCTTTGATTTTTCCCCCGAATTCCATCTCATTCATCTTCCAATTCTTTTTTGAGATATTCTTCAAAAAGTTTCCCTTCTGTTTGTTTTATAAATCTTCCTGTATTTTTCCTTAAAAAGAAAGTTAATTTGTCCATGTCCTTTATCTCCACCTCTTTCTCAAGCCATTGTTCTTTTAACGGTATCTTCTCACTTTTTCAGTATTTTGCAAAGGCCATTCGTGTTGTTATAATGTACTATTCTAATTGTTTTTACTCTGCTAAATATAAACACGTGTGGTTAAAGTGAATACCTACCTGCAGGTGATATCAATACAAACAAATGTATTCACTAAAATTCAGTTCTTATAACTTCATTTTTTATTTCCCATCTCAATATCTTTACATTATTCATTATTATCTAGATTGACCTTACTATATTTCAACAATTTTCCCTCCAATGTTGGGAAAAGGGTTGGGATGGAAAGATTCTGCATTTTGGTTTTTTGATTTTTAAAAAAGTCAGTCTAGTGATGTTTCTGATTTATCTTGGTTCATAGGACTTGTTAAGACAGATGGCTCAACAGAAGATACAGCCAAACCTGTTAACTTTTAATTGTGTGCTGAAGGCACTGAGGCGATGTGGTTCTTTAGCCCGGAGTATGGCCCTCCAGACCCTTAGTGAAATGAAAGCACTAAATATAGGTAAGAATTTTCTACTTTCTGTTTAGATTATTTCACCATAACTTTCAAAGAGGCAAACATTTAGGGATTGGATATATGACTCTTATAAGGTATATGATTGTGACATTCATATGTGCAATTTTTTTTTGTTGTGTCAGGAGCGACTTGAGAAACTGCAAGTCGCTTCTGGCGTGAGAGAATTGGCCGTCTGCAAGGACGTTGCCCAGGGGACGCCCAGATGATTTGATGTTTTATCATCCTTGTGGGAGGCTTCTCTCATGTCCCCGCATGAGGAGCTGGAGCTGATAGAGGGAGCTCATCTGCCTCTCCCTGGATTTGAACCTGCGACCTGTCGGTCTTCAGTCCTGCCAGCACAGGGGTTTAACCCACTGCACCACCGGGGGCTCCTATATGTACAATTGAAACAATGCTGCTTGTAAACATTGCACAACCAAAGTTGTGGAGCTATGTCTACCCTGTGCTCAGGACTAGAATAAAAATGTTGTTGAACTGTAAACATTTTATTAGTGCTTTGCCTTCCATAGTATTCTTACAGAAATAGCTCGATATATTTTTCTTATGACCTGTTTCTATCATCCTCACATGTTTTGTTCTGGATTTTTCAGAACAAAACTGTGTCAGATGTGTCCAAAAATGTGTCAGATGGAAAGCAACCAAATAATTTTTCTTCAGAAAAAAACCCCTTCATTACCTTGAGTAATGAACTTGAGCCTGGAACCCCAGGTTTCTGCGGTGACCAGGGGAGCATTTGCACAGCTAAAGCTTGTGCGCCAGCTGCGCCCGTACCTTAGGAAGTCTGACTTGGCCACGGTAGTCCACGCTCTGGTTACATCCGTTTAGACTACTGCAACGCTCTCTACGTGGGGTTGCCTTTGAAGACGGTCCGGAAGCTCAACTAGTCCAACGCTCGGCAGCCATGATTTTAACAGGAGCGGAGCGCAGGGAGCATGCCACCCCCCTGTTGCGCCAACTCCACTGGCTACCGATCTGCTACCGGGCTGAATTCAAAGTGCTGGCATTGGCCTTTAAAGCCCTAAACGGTTCCGGCCCAAGCTACCTATCCGACCGCATCTCTGCCTATGAACCCACCAGGACTTTGAGATCTTCCGGGGAGACCCTGCTCTCGATCCCGCCTGCTTCTCAAGCTTGGCTGGCGGGGACGAGAGATAGGGCCTTCTCGGTGGTGGCTCCTCGGCTGTGGAACGCCCTTCCTACGGACATTAGACTAGCACCATCTCTAATGGTATTCCGCAAAAAAGTGAAGACCTGGCTGTTTGAGCAGGCATTCGAATAATTAGTGCAATGATTGGTTAATGAACACTGGAATGGAACAATGGATGACGAATCTGGAACATGTTTTTGATGATGAGATGACAGTGAATGGTATTGTAGTAACTGTTTATTAATTGTGTAATGTGTTAGGTTGTTAACTGTTTTTATACTGTAGCACTGAATTTTTGCTGTTCGTATTTGTTGTGAACCGCTGTGAGTCGCCTTCGGGCTGAGAACAGCGGTATATAAGTAAGGTAAATAAATAAATAAATAAAATAATACCACAACAATGTATTTGCTGTTTTGTTAGTACTATACATGCTTTATTTACTCCTCTCTTTGCATTTTATTTTATTGTAATTTTTTATAAGGTTCATTATGTTTTTGGGAGTGGGGACAGAACCAACTCCAAGGCATCATAATTTGCATGGGAAAATTGACATATGCTAACAACATACTTAACCCTTCCAGTGCCCGTTCTTTACTACATATATTTTCTTTCTCTCTGGGGAATATTTAATCCTCCTTCTCCCTGCCCCATTATTAGGCTTTCACACAGATGTACTGTGTAACAGAGTTTGCTTAATAGATAACTTTTGTAACTGAAATATGGATTAATTCATGTCTGTTTGTGCTTGGGTAAATTTAAGATGAATTGATTCAAGAGATCTCTGTTTATTTCAGAACCCAGCCTTGCAACATTTGACCATCTCCTTGCAATATTTTACAGATCAGGTATGTAGTCTCTAGATCAGCATAAAAATAGTCAACTTCTTTCCTTGGTCATATAAAAATCTCAGTTTGACTTTTTTACTGTTAGAACAGCAGCTTTTCTCCTGCCTTACAGCTTATTCAATGAATATGAAGATCTTTCTATATGCTTTTCCTGGATTTGGGCATGTCTTGTTTTGTGCCTTCAAGTTGTTTCCTTCTTACGGTGAATCTAAAGTGAACCTATCACATGATTTTCTTGAGAATATATGACTTTCCTAAAGTCACCCAGTGGGTTTCTGTAGTCAAGAAGACTGGGGAAAAATAACCCTGTCTGTCAGGAATTTCTTATACCATGACATAATTATGTTAAATTAAAAAGGCATATGAGTCATGAGCCACAACCCCCGTTTTAATGAGCCCTCCTCCGCAAATAATCTGCTTCTCCTTTATCTCACCCAAGTTTATTAATCAGCTTTTAATTAGTTTTTCCTTTTAACTATTACATGTAGCCCGCCCATTGTCACTGTGATTGTGTTTATTATAATTTTATATCTTTTCTCATACATAGTATTTAAAGGTTGGAATCCTGATTTGCTCAGGGAACCTCTGGCCTCTCAGGGCTTTGTCTACAATGCAAAGTTTCAAGATTACTTCCACCTTTTCATATCTACTGAAGTTAACTTCTGCATTTTTCAAAGTTCCACTGAAAAGTGGAATATTAAAGTATTAAAATGTCCAGAGTTTTTGGGACCAGTTTTATTGATGGCTATTTGTGTGTACGTTTTCTACTGTTCTTACGTTATGTTGCAGTGACATACAGCAGCAAAGAAGTCAACCACCATCTGCACTTGCATGAACAAGAACTAAGAAGAAAAGTTGTGAAAATGACTTATGTCTTATTTTGCATTTTATCTGTTGCATCATAGGAGAAACACACTGATAGAAGGAAGATATCATCTCCTGTCTTTCTTTTATTTCACAGCCATGTCTTCTCGAGGCCAAACAGAAATTATCTATGAGGTGTTAGATGAAATTGAGGGAAAGAGTTTTTACCCTCAAGACCCAGATGACAGTATGTATTTCATTCTCTATTATGTTCTACCTTTGTTCTGTGCAGGAATAATATATACTGGGAAAAATAGCTTGCTATAACTTAGAAGAAATGGAACAGTTTTTGATAACATTCCTCAAAATCAAGATCATATATAGCAGCGTTTCTCAACCTGGGGGTTGGGACCCCCGGGGGGGTCGCAAGGAGATGTCAGAGGGGTCACCAAAGACCATCAGAAGACACAGTATTTTCTGTTGGTCATGAGGGTTCCATATGTTAAATTTGGCCCAATTCTATCGTTGGTGAGGTTCARAATGCTCTTTGTTTGTAGGTGAACTATAAATCCCAGCAACTACAACTCTCAAATGTCAAGGTCTATCCCCCCTCCCCAAACTCCACCAGTGTTCACATTTCGGCATATTRAGTATCTGTGCCAAGTTTGGTCCAGATCCATCATTGCTTGAGTCCACAGTGCTCTCTGGATGTAGGTGAACTACAACTTCAAAACTCAAGGTCAATGTCTACCAAATCCTTCCAGTATTTTCTTTTGATCATGAGAGTTCTGTGTGCCAAGTTTGGTTCAGTTCCCTCATTGGTGGAGGTCAGAATGCTCTTTGAGTGTAGGTAACTATAAATCCCAGGAACTACAACTCCTAAATGACAAAATCAGTTATTCCCCCCCCCCCCAACCCCACTAGTATTCAAATGTGGACATAGCATGTATTTGTATAAAATACATCCTGCATATCAGATATTTTTATGATGATTCATAACAGTAGCAAAATTATAGTTGTGAAGTACCAACGAAAATAATTTTATGGTTGGGGGTCACCACAACACGAAGAACTTGTATTAAGGGGTCGCGGCATTATGAAGGTTGAGAAACACTGATATTTAGCATCATGACAGAGCATGCATTATGTGGTAATGTGAGAAAATATTTGCTGATGGGTTATGTGAGAGAATATTTGCTGGCTCGATTTGTATGCTTCACTGCATGGTAACTGAAGACCTCCAGTTCAAAAGTATTAAAATTGTGTGTGGTTGCTATGTGTATGTGGTTAGGCATTATTAGCAATGGTTAACAATTAACTTACCTAATTTGAAACATGTTTGCATTACAAAAAAAACCCTTATTTTATTAAACCATAGGAGTCAGTACAGGTAGTCCCCAAGTTACAAACATCTGATTTACAAATGACTCCCAGTTAAGAACGGGAGTGAGACAACAGGAAGTGAGATATAAATCTACCCCTAGGAAGCAAAATTCACTCCTAGAAGGGTTATCATGGGGAAAAGGTGTCTCAGCTGAAGATTAATAATAGTAATAATAATTATTATTTCTATTATTATTATTTATTTATACCCTACCACCATCTCCCCAAGGGGACTCGAGGCGGCTTACATGAAGCCAAACCCAACAACACATCAGTAAAAACAAAACAGCAAGCAAATAAAACAGTACAATTAATATAACTTACATATAAACAATAACACAGAGAATTTAAAACCTTATGGCTGGGCTCCTCCTAAAGACTGCCAATGTGGGGGCTTGTCTGATATTCTTGGGGAGTGAGTTCCAGAATCAGGGGGATACCACAGAGAAAGCCCTTGTCACCAATCGTGTCTGCAAAGGGAACGGGAGTGAGAGCAGGGCCTCTCCAGATGATCGCAGAGATCACGTGGGTTCGTACACAGAAATGCGGTCATGCAGGTAGGCGGGTCCCAAACCATTCAGGACTTTGTAGGTAAGAACCTGCACCTTGAATTGGGACCGGAAAAGGAACGGCAGCCAATGGGAATTCCTTAAACGGGGGTTGCCCACTCCCTGTATGTCGCTTCAGTTAGTAACCTGGCTGCCGCCCGTTGTACTAATTGAAATTTCTGAGCCGTCTTCAAGGGCAGCCCCACATAGAGTGCATTACAGTAATCCAATCTGGAGGTGACTAAGGCGTGGACCACCATGGCCAGATCCAACTTCACGAGGTATGGTCGTAGCTGGTGCAAGAGTTTTAATTGTGAGAAGGCCCTCCCAGCCACCGCCGACGGCTGGGCTTCAAGTGTTAGCGATGAGTCTCGGAAGACACCCAAGCTGCGGACCTGTGACTTCAGGGGGAGTGCAATCCCATCAAGCACAGGTTGCCACCCTATACCCCGATCCAGCTTACGATTGACCAGGAGGACCTCTGTCTTGTCAGGATTGATCCTCAGCTTATTCATCCTCATCCAGACAGCCACAGCGGCCAGGCACTTGTCCAATACCCGAATTAGGTGGAAAAGAGTAGTGGAGTTGGGCGTCATCTGCATAGAGATGGCATCCAACTCCAAAAGTCCAGGTGACTTCTCCCAGCGCTTTCATGTAGACTTTAAAAAGCATGGGGGACAGAATGGAACCTTGCGGGACCCCACAGGTCAAAGGCCAGGGGTCTGAGCAGGTATCCCCCAGCTTCACCATTTGGGAGCGACCCTCCAGGAAGGACCAGAGCCACGACAGAGCCATGCCCCCAAGACCCATCCCGGAGAGCCGTCCCAGAAGGATACCGTGGTCGGTGGTATCCAAAGCCACTGAGATGTCCAAGAGAACCAGCAGTGTCACACTCCCCCTGTCCAGCTCCCTGCAGAGGTCATCCATCAAGGCGACCAAAGCTGTCTTGGTACCGTGACCAGGCTTAGAGGAGGAAGGGAGAGGTGCAGGGTTAGGGTTTATCAGCAATCCTTGTTTCGACAACAAGCCAATTTTCCAAAATCCAGCTGTCATGGGGACATTAAGTGAGGTGAAATGTTCTGAACAGGGACAGCAAAAGAAAAATCACCACAAGGGTGTTAACTCTTCCCTGTGTGATCCAAAGGTTACACTTAAAAACTTTATCTGTTCCAACTTACAAACAAATTCAGCTTAAGAACAAACCTATGAAACCTTTCTTGTTTGTAACTTGGGGACTGCCATAAGTGTGGTGTTATTCTGGCTTGGCTGTTGCATCAGAGTTGGATTGCGTGATTTGCTGTGTTGTTGAGCCCTGCAGACCTGTCTCAGTAATCTTTAGAAGCCTAACACATGTGTATCTTCTGAGTTGGTAGACATCCAAATTAACAGTGGCTGTTCTTTCCTCCTTTTCAGTTTACTTCTTCGCAAATGCTATGAGAATAGTAAGTGATTTTGATGTCTGCTATTTAATGCTTTAAATGTGAATGTATGTTTCCATAGCTTTCTAGTTACTTGTGATTTCTACAAACTTGTTGATCTGTTCTGCTCTTTGGAGCTGTAGCAACCCACTTCCATGCATAACTCCTTTTTTTTCCCATCATCAGCTTTTGTTCCTTATAAATGATTACTGTGTCCTTCCCTAACTTGGTGGCCTCTAGATATTTTAGATTTTAATTCACATCAATCTCTGCTAAAAATACCAGTGGTTTGAAAAAATTTTTCATGTCAGGAGTGACTTGATAAACTGCAAGTCGCTTCTGGTGTGAGAGAATTGGCCGTCTGCAAAGACGTTGCCCAGGATGTTTTTGATGTTTTACCATCCTTGTCGGAGGCTTTTCTCATGTCCCCGAATTGGGAGCTGGAGCTGACAGAGGGAGCTCATCCATACTCTCACTGGATTCAAACCTACAACCTGTCAGTGTTCAGTCATGCCAACACAAGCGTTTTACCCACTGTGCCACTGGAGGCTCCTTGGTTTGAGAATAGAAAGCATACAGAAAATATTATCCAAGAAGATGGAATGGAAGTCATTTATTACTAGCTTGGGGACCCGGCGTTGCCCGGGTTATTAGAGAAAGTGGGTAATGGTGGTTCTGTATGCCAAGTTTGGTCTTTATTGGTCTTTGGATAACGGCTGCATTATTTTCAGGAAGTGAGTGAAGGTACTTGAAGTCCCATCATCCATGGCCATCCTCCTACAAACAGCAGCAGGATATAGAGTGGGTCATGGGGCTCTGTGTGCCAAGTTTGGTCTTTATCAGTCATTAGATGAGGGTGGCGGTGGTGTCAGTAAGTGAGTGAAGGTACTGCAAGTCCCATCATCCAAGTCCATCCCCCTTCAAACTGCAGCAGGATGTAGAGTGGATCATGGGGGCTCTGTGTGCCAAGTTTGGTCTTGATCGGTCATTAGAAGAGAGTTGCAGCAATGTTTTGAAGGGAGTGGAGGTACTTGAAGTCCCATCATCCATGGTCTGTCCTCCTCCAAACTGTAGCAGGATGTAGAGTGGGTCATTAGAGCTCCATGTGCCAAGTTTAGTCTTGATTAGTCATTGGCGAGGGTCTCAGTGGTCTCAGGAAGTGAGCAAAGGTACTGCAAGTCCCATCATCCATCTCCAATTTTTTCCAAACAACACCAGGACGTAAAGTGGGTCATGAGAGGTCTATGTGCCAAGTTTGGTCTTGATCCGTCATTGGATGAGGTTTGCAGAGGTCTCAGAATGTGAGTGAAGGTACTGGAAGTTCCATCATCCATGGTCCATCCTTCTCCAAAACTGCAGCAGGATGTAGAGTGGGTCATGGGGGCTCTGTGTGCCAACTTTGGTCTTGATTGGTCATTAGATGAGTTTTGCAGCAGTCTTGGGTAGTGGAGGTACTTGAAGTCCCATCATCCATGGTCTGTCGTCCTCCAAACTGCTCCAGGATGTAGAGTGGGTCATTGAAGCTCCATGTGCCAAGTTTAGTCTTGATGAGTCATTGGCGTGGGTCTCAGTGGTCTCAGGAAGTGAGTGAAGTGACTGCAAGTCCCATCATCCATTGTCAAATTCTTCCAAACCGCACCAGGATGTAGAGTGAGTTATGCGGGCTCTCTGTGTAAATTGTGGTCCTGATCCATCATTGTTGGCAGTTATAATGGTCTTAGGAAGGGAGTGCAGGTATTGCAAGTCCCATCGTCCATGGTGCATCCTCCTTCAAACTGCACCTGGATGTAGAGTGCGTCATGGAGACTCAGTGTGCCAAGTTTGGTATTTATTGGTAATTGGATGAGGGTTGCAGTGGTCTGAAGAATTGAGCAATGGGGGTGGGGGTTTGGGCATCGGTTGGGCGCTGGATGAGGGGAGAAGGGCAAGGTGAGAGGAGGGGGGAAAGAGAGCCTGTCGGAAGGGTGGGGGAGGGGGGGGAAGGGGAAGAAAGGGAAGGGAGAAGGAGGAAGGGGGAAGGGGAAAGGGGAAGGGGGAGAAGGGGAAGGGGAGAAGGGGAAGGGAGGGAAGGAGGAGAAGGGGAAGGGAGAAGGAGGGGAAGAGAAGGGAAGGGGGAAGAGGGGAAGGGGAGGAGAGGAGAAGGGAGAAGAGAGAAAGGGAGGAGAAAGGGGAAGGAGGAAGGGGGGAACAAAGAGGAAGGGAGGGAAGAAAGAAGAAAGGGAGAAAGAAGAGGGAAGGGGGAGAGAAGGAGGAGAGAGGGAGAGAGGAGGGAAAGAGAGGGAGGGAG